CGGGGTGGCCGGGACAATGCGGGACCCCCCGCTCGCAGATCTGCCGCTGCTTTTTATAACCACCTCAGCTGTCCTCAGGAGCCCAAATAAGGCTGTGGCCGCCCGGACCCCCCCAGGGCAGACAATGGGTCCCGAGCACAGACTTTTTGGGAAAGTGGGGAGGCGGCTAGGCCCAAGAAAGGCAAAGCCCCCGCACCGGCAGGCAGGGCAGAGTTGATAAACTGGGCAGCAGGGCAGCGGGCAGCACTGCTGCTCTGCCTGCCCCTTGCCTGTTCTGCTGCCTGCCGCCCCGCTGCCAGTGCCCGTGTCCCACCGAGGATGGAGGCCATCAAGAAGAAGATGCAGATGCTGAAGCTGGACAAGGAGAACGCCCTGGACCGGGCGGAGCAGGCGGAAGCCGAGCAGAAGCAGGCGGAGGAGCGGAGCAAGCAGGTAGGGCAGGTGGCAGAGGCCCCCAGGTGGGGATGTTTGGGGGGACGGCTTCTCCCCATGCCAGGCCACGCTGAGCCCAGACCCAGATTCTGGCAAGGGGAACAAGGGTGCAAGAGCTGCCACCGTCCCACAGCTCGGGTACCATGTCACGATGCTGTGGGGCATTCTGAGGGCTCAGCCCCTGCCAGATGGTGTCATGTGGGACAGGGACGGGCACTGTGGGGCAGAGCTGGCCCTGCGATGGGGCAGGAGGGATGCTGTGGGGCAGACCTGAGCCTGGGATGGGGTAAGCAGGGCTCTCCCGCCATGCAGGGGTCCCAAGGGGTGTCCACCTGCAGTGACTGCTGCCACCCTTCCAGCTGGAGGACGAGCTTGCCGCCATGCAGAAGAAGCTGAAAGGGACGGAGGATGAGCTGGACAAATACTCCGAGGCCCTGAAAGATGCCCAGGAGAAGCTGGAGCTGGCGGAGAAGAAGGCGGCGGATGTACGTATGGGGTGCAGGGTGGGAGCTGGGTTGGCTACCCTCCTCTTGTCACCCTCCCGGTGGGACTGCAGCCCTTCCCTGAGGATGGAGGAAGGTCCCTGTCAGGCCCAGCGCACCCCTGGCAAAGCTGTGCGGGTATCTGGGGGCAGAGAGACCCCAGGAAGGACACATCCCACGGCCACACAGGGGACAGAGGGATGCTGGCAGGGGCTGGTCCCAGCTTTTTCCTGGGTAAGGAAGTCCTGGGCAGCCTGGGAGCAGGGACGGAGCAGGCTGGGCAGTAAGGCTTCCTGAAGCAGGGCACGGGGACCCCGAGTTGGGGGGCAGAGCCACAGCCCCCTTGAGCATGGGATGTGGGGTCTGTGTGTGTCCCCAGGAAGCTCCGAGATGGGGCTGCCGTTGGAGGAGCTGAGCTCTGGAGGAGGAGGAGGGAGCCCTCATCTCCCTGGGCAGGCGGAGGCCGTGTGGGCAGCGTGACAATGGCACAGCCCGGCTATTGTTGGCCACTGTTTCCAGGAAAACAATGGTGCGAGCAGTGCAGGGTTTCGCTTGCCGACAGCTCTGCCGGGCATCACATGGCGTGGCGTCTGTCCCCGCTCGTCACCTGCCAGGACCTGGCAGCTGGAGGGACTGTCACCCCATGGGGCTGTGATGTCTCAGGGGTCAAACGTCGGGAAGATGCAGATCTTACCTCCTGCGGGAGCCGGGAGAAAGCCCCCGGCTCCTCTCCCTCAATGGGCCCAGCTCTGACGTCCAGCCCGGAGGCAGGAGCCTTCCCCTCCCGCTACGCTGCTGACGTTGGGCCATGGGGAAGCACCCCAAGCCCTGGCACGGCACCTGGGCTGGCTCTTGCCAGCACGTCCTGGCTCTGAGCTGAGGGCCGGGGTGTAATCTGGAACTCCCGAGCCTTCCCTGAGCCCTGGGCAGTTCATCAGCCCCATGGCCTTGCTCACGGCTTCCTGTCCTGGCCCCAGCTGAGCGTGCCAGTGGTGCCGGCCCTGTGCTGGAGCTCGGCACGTGCCGAGCACGCCATTGCAGAGCTCTGGGGAGTCCTTTCCCTCCCTTGCACCCTTCTTGCCTCCCTTCGCTCCCCACTGGCATTTTCATACTCTCTCCATGCTGTCACATGCAGTGCTGAGGACCGCACCCCCACTTGCTTCCCAACTCGTTCATCCCTTTCTGTTCATTTGGGGCCCCCTTTTTCTGGCCGCCACCCCCCAGGGTGGCTCTTGGGGCTCCCCCGGTTTCACCCTAGCTCAGGGAAGCGGAGGGAGGAGGGATTTCGCACCCTGGAGCGTTGGATGTGCAGAGCTGCCTCCTGGCTCCTTCCAGCCAGCGGGATTGTGCAGGGCCAGGCCCTTTTGGTTGCCAGCTCATTTCTGGGGGACGTGCCAAGCCCTTGGGCTGGCCGAGTGCACGCCAGCCCCCTCCGCCCTGGCAAACGCACCCCTGCGGCATGTGCTGGCCCAGCTGCAGAGGTTTTTAGGAGGCAGCGCAGGGGTGGCAGCCTGGCACCCCTTTCCCCTTTATTCGTGTGCCCGAAGCGCTGCTGAACGGGCTTCATGGTGAGCAAGGGCAGCAACAGGTCTCGGTTGTGTTTTTATTGAGCTCTCAGGGGGTTCTGTGACCCTCGCAGCACAGAGGAACGCTGCTCTTGGCAGCAGCATTTTCTGCCCTAACTGAGACCGGAGAGTTTTAGCAATGGCTAAAGCTGTCGCAATGGCG